CTTCGCCTTTGCAGTCATTAGCCCTATGACCCCTCTTGCCACAACGATGACACCTCAGCGCTTTACGATTCTCAACACGGTGGCCTTGTTCGCCACACTTATAACACTTACCTGGAGCAGTAGCCGCAATGTTGAAGAGGTAATGAGGGTGAATGATGAACTCAATAAGGAGTTCGACATGAAGGATCTGGGAGCTACGTCTAGGATTCTTGGGATTGACATCCGAAGAGATAGAAATCAGTCGAGATTATGCTTATCTCAAGAGGCATACCTACGGAAGATTCTTGAAAAGTATGGTATATCGAATTCAAAGCTTATTGTGACTCCGACAAACCCTCAATTCAAGCTGAGTATAGATCAGTGTCCCAGCACTGATGTTGAAAAAACTTATATGAATAGCATTTCATATTCTAACAAGAATTTTCTTATATAAACACAGAATAAAATTGAAAATTTAAGATAGCAGACTTAAAAAAAATCCTAAAAATTACAAGTCAAAATTGATATATTTAAAGATATATATATATATATATATATATATATATATATATATATATATATATATATATATATATATATATATATATATATATATATATATATATATATATATATATATATATATATATATATATATATATATATATATATATATATATATATATATATATATATATATACACGTGTTTTACGATATATTTAAATATACGTGTTTCACACCTGAACTAGAATTAAATGTATATGGTGGTAAGGAATTCTAAACCAGCGGTGTTGATTTTCGATATGACGGCGCGGGGTGAACCTGTAAGGTTAGCATTCCAATGCCTAAGTTAGTTCATAATTTGAAATGATTTTAGTAAAAAATGGAGATAAAAAGTTTACCTTGAATATTTTGTGTGATGAATTTTATACCTTAAGTCATTTGGAGTGGATTGATACTGATTTAGGCCTTTATCGAACCCAAAACATTTGCCCCAAAGGCTTGTCGGGCCGTGATGAGCCGGGAAGTCTTAGACACTATGGTTGGCCTCTGAGAATGTTGTTCACTTTAAATTATAACTGAAAATACCTTGGGTCAGTTGCAAAAGTAATGGGGAACAGGGGCATTAAATGCCTTCCCATCATTGAAACGTTCCATTACCATAGATTTTTCAATCTTTCACTTTTATTGATTTGCTACGTTGCTTGTCTTCGCATATATATGAGTTTTTGAATGTTGGTGAAACTTTTCACAATCCTTGAGATTAAGTTTCTATTTGCAAGTGTCTTTCTCTCTTCCTTTCCGAGATTCTTTAATATAGTTGTTGTAGTTCCTTGCTAAAAACTTCCATTTCTCCCTATTACATTTGCTTTTCTTGTCATCTTCCGCTTTACTAGGGACCCTCATTATCTCAATCTTTTAACACCTTCAACATTTTCTTTACTTTGATTAACATGAGTGGTAGTCCTATTAGCTTGGCTAGTGATTTTAAGAGCGATGCATCTCCCGTAATGAGAACGAGAGTATCTTCTCATTCAAACCCTTCCTCTTTCATCTATGATCACCTGGGTCTGAGATAGTGAAAATAGAAGAGGCCCCTACTATTTCTACGACCACCCAGTTATATCTGATCGCATTAGGCGACTCCACTAATGTAACTCTTTTCAAGAATAGCTCATCAACCTTAAAATGATAGAAAGGTTTTAGAAAGGGAATGCCTTTCGTCGACCCTCGCACTCTAGATGGGCATTGACGTCGACATTGCTAGGGTCTTGATTGTAGGTTTTTCGATAAACCTAAATATAATCTCTAGCACATTCCCTTCTCAGGCTAGCGACATGCATTTCCAAAACCGACATAGCAGGAGAAGTCGAAGTTCCTGCATCATGAGACAAATGGGGCATAAAAGGAGCCATATGATCCCTTACAACGTCTTTATTAGAAAAGATAGTAATGAAAGAATAATCCCAAGAGGAAGCTTTCTCATCCATGGAGCCAACATATAACCTTTTTGAATCAGAATCATCAATTATGGACGCGACCAACACCGCGACCGATTGCCATTCAAATTGGTCGGTCCTTCAAATTTACTCAAGAAAAAGGATGCGTAGCCCCTTTGACAGGTGTTTAGTTCCATTTTATAAGTGTCTGTTGACAAGGATAGGTTTACGGCTATCTCTATTTGAGTTTAAGGTGGTCGTGGTGAAGTATTTCTGGTCCTACATGAAGGTGTTCCAATTTTGGGTCGAGTATAGGTCTTGGAAACCTTCTCCTTGGTTGTTTTTCAACATGTCTCGCGTTGTACATAATTTCCATAATGACATCCGAGATCATTGACTTATTGCGCTTTATTAGAACCTTCCTTGGCTTAGCCTCTTCATTGACGACTAAGGCAATTTCTTGAGGTGCTTCATTCTGGTGAAACCATGTACTCTAGAGACAAATATTATCGTCTGCTCTAGCCCGACCGAATCCTTTCGTTGTTCCAAAAGTAGGTTTGTGAAATACTTGTCTTGGCTCATTTCCAATATGTAGCTCATTCTTACAACATCAAATTAGATTTCCTCTCTACTAAAGAGGTTATGATGAGGTAGGATTAAAAGTCTCTATACCAGGGACTTGGTTATGAAGAAGGGTTTGGCCTTAGCAAAGTGTCAACTTCTTTGTAGAGGAAGAGGGTAATTGACATCACTATTGTGAGTGCGACCAATCACATGAAGAGGAAATAAATCTTTGGTGAGAGCATAGTCCTAGAGTTTTTTTAACATGCATGCTGGTACTTTGCTGATAAAATGGACAAGTTGCAAAAGTCTTTTCTATTGCCTCTGCTCAGGGCATTAAACTTGGTCCTGCTGGCCGGGTTGTTGCACCTCCCCCTACAACTCTTATACCCTCATTTACTATCATGGCTACTGTAGCTATCTTTGGGGTTGATCAACTTACAATTGTCGCTGCCACTATATGTGAAAGATTAACCAAATCATTTTACTGATTTGAAGAAGAGAGGTCGGGACCAGGACCGACATTCCTCTTTGGAGGAGGATTCCCCTAAACGGGCCTACCTTTTCGGAGGTGTTTCTTTAGGGCCGACTACTCATTTCCTTGAAATGCTCATCATTTTTCTTGTCCCAATTCATCGCACTCCTGAGGAAACTGTTGTTGTTGTGTTTGCGGAGGATATGTCCTTTGTCCAAAATTTTCATGAGGCGGACAAGATTGAGCTTCTTTCCGAGGTCACCTATCTCAATTACTAGGCAGCCTCTATGTTCTCCTTAGTACTGTTAACCAAGGTGACGTCTTGACCACGGGAAATCCTTTAAAGAAAAGGGATAAATGGAATGGGAAATGCGAAGACATGTAGAAAAATGCTATAAATTCCATAAGGAGACGTCTGCTCTCCAAGAGACATCCACTACTGTTACAGAGGCAGACCGTCGTGCTGAGAAGGCTCGAAAATCTCTTCAACAAGAAAAGGAGTCCCATGCTAAAGATCTGAGAGCTCATGAGGGTAAGGTGGCCACTTTGAAGGAGAAAGTTCAGGTGTATTTTCAGCAAACTTTGAAGAATGTGTACGAAGCTCTCGACCAGGCGGTTGATCAGGCTAAAGACTTTTGCTCGAACGTTCCTATCTATGTTATAGAACTGGATCCTTCAAAGTTGCTCCGAACGGGGCTTTGGTTGACAACCAGGGCGCAACGTCTCAGAGTAAGGAAATATGATATTTTTCTCCTTTTTCCTTTTCTTTTTCTGTAATGTTGGCCTGACTTTCATGCCTTGGAAAAAATGACAATATTTAAGTGTATATTTACCTTAATGCTTAGTGTCTTTATTTAGATTTGTGTGATTGATAAATTGTATTTATTTCTTATGGTTGTCTAGTCCATCTTATATTTTGTTAATCTTCTCACCTTGGATTGATTGGCAAGTTCTTATTTCGCCAGGACTTGCTCTTTGTCCATGCAATTTCAAACTTGTTCGTCTTGTGTGTGTTGCCGGTGTCTGATGTGTTCGTCAGACTCTGTGGCCCCAATCAAAGTTTTGTCGCTACTTGCTCTAATTTAGAAGAGTTAGTGTGTTTCTTCAATGTCGCTACAAACCGTCCCCGACCAAAGGTAAGGTTCCTGTACCTTTTTCTCAGGGTTGACCTGGTTTGGGATAGATGTTTTCGGACTTCTCGACTACGCTCTCAGAGTGACTAGTTCTTATGAAGGGGGGTGCGACAACTACACTTTGAAGTGTGTTCACTAAATATGAAACCTGCTTTAAAAGAGCGACTCATGTCATCCTGTAGGAGATTATAAGACCCTTTTATGGTTAAAATATCTCATAGTTAGTCGATTAATTATTACAATTGTGCAAAACTTTATGAAATACTTAGTTTATCGAAAAAATTACAATGGTAGTATGTTCTGCTTCCTCCTTACTTGTTCCTCGATTGACTGTGTAGTCAGGATAAAAGAAGAACCGTGGATCTTCGCCTCTTCTTGCAAAGCCTCAACACGATTGACTTAAAAAACAAACATCTTTTTCTAAAATTTAGAACATTTCTCCTTTAAATTTTCGTATTTCCCGTTTCTGTATATTCTGCCGAATTATACATATATTTTAAAATGTTTGTATATATAGATAAATAACACACAAAGATTATTCCTTTTTTAAACGTAGAAAGAACACCTTCTATGCTGCCGATTCTTCATCCTCAGGCATTCCATTTCTACTCCTACAAACACGAACCAACCCCAACGCGTCTTTTCATTTCGATATGCAAATCATCACATCACAACTCACAACTCACTCGTCAAACCAGGTATTCTAAATCTCATCCCCCTAATCTTTTTCATTCCTCTTTTTCTTCATCTAGGTTTTCTCTTCTCAACCGTTCCCCTCCCATCGCAATCCAACACGCCGTTGCTTGGATTTGAAAATCTCGCCATGTAATTTCTCAACTACTGTTTCTTCCATTACAATCATTCAATTCTCTGCTGTTTTTATGCTCAACTAGGTAATTAGCTGAATAACGATGTCGAATTCAGCGCCAGAAGATGAGACAGCGATTCTTCCCGAATCGAAGAGATTAAAGCATGGAAATGAAAATGAAGATAAGCTTAGTGATTTACCAGATTGTGTTATTCTTCACATATTATCGTTTTTGAACGCCAAAGAAGTTGTTAAAACTTGCATTTTGTCCACAAGATTGAAGAATCTTTGGAAACGTGTTCCTACTCTTGTATTGCATTCTACTGACTTTTCTACTTTCAAGAGTTTTACCAAATTCGTTTCTAAGATTTTGTCACTTCGCGATGGTTCAATTGCACTGCAAACTCTTGATTTTGAACGTGTAGGTAGTATTGAGCCTCACCTACTTAAAAGAATTGTGAACTATGCTTTTGCTCGTAATGTTCAGCGATTCGGAATGTCTGTGAAAGGTGATATTTGTCATATTCTGCCTTGTATATCTTCGTGTCGGACTTTAACTTCTCTTAAACTTTCGGTTTCCCCTAAAGGCCGTCATAATTATGGGCGAACGTTGTTTCCAAAATCGTTGGATTTGCCAGCTTTAACAAGCTTGCATCTAGGGAATTTTGCCTTTTGTGCCAGTGAGAAAGGCCGAACTGAGCCCTTTTCGGCTTTTAACAAGTTGAATAGCTTGGTAATTGACAATTGTACGGTGAAAGATGCACAAGTTCTTTGCATATTAAGTGAGACACTTGTCAATTTGACTATGCGTAATCATTCTTCGGACCTTTACAAAATCGAGCTGGTTGCTCCAAGTCTTTGCATGTTTGCTTTTAGTGGCACCCCTTATCAGAAGCTTTGTGGAAGCAACCTTTCTTCTGTTAAAGAGGTAAATATTGATGCAGAAATGTTGTCAAACTACACAGAGCCTCCTTTGGTTTTACTTAGCTGGCTGCTAGAGCTTGCTAATATCAAATCATTGACGGTCTCTGCAAGTACTCTTCAGGTATCTTATATCGAGGCTTTATTTGTACTTTCTTCATGGGATCTTTTTTTTTTTTTTTTAGGTTTCTAACTTTTGTCAATTATCTTGCCTCAAACTAGTACGAACTCACCCTCATCCCTCATTGATCAGGTTCTCTCGCTAATTCCTGATTTATTGAAGGATAAGCTCACTTCCTTGTGTAACTTGAAGTCACTTAAAGTACAAATGAAACCACTTTCATATGGATTATCCATGACACTGAGAACTGCCAAGTTACAAAAAGAATCTAAAGCAGGATCAGAACCATCTTCATCTATACCTGATGGAATAGTTGACTTTTTGATTCAAAACTCACCTTCGGCAGAAGTTGACATCATAGATTGCTCAAGGTGAGTTGTGCATTCAACTCTTTAAAAAGAGATTCTTATAACTGGTTTGGTTTTGCTTCCTTCTTTGTTTCTTTCCCTATGCTGTCTCTGGTTATAACTAATACTCCGTGGATGAATTATGAGTCCCTTGGGTAGACTGTAGAGAAATAAATTGCACGTGCATACTAAGAAGATTGTATCTAGCACAACTTGATAGAGATATAGCATATCATTCATTCAATCTATTACTTGTATGCACCGTATATAATACACTTTATCTGTTGTAACTGTTAGACGTTAGTTAGTTCAGGTAAGCACTGTGAAGTTGTTAGTTTTGGTTAGAAATGTTAGACTCAGTAAGAACATTGTATGAATAAGATCCCAATGCTTTCTCAAGCTTAATAAATCAGAATCAGTAATCTCTGGACACTAAATTCTTTCTCGCTCTGTATGTGTGTTTGTGTGTGTATATATGATCATATATACATATTTACATATATACGTATGTATCCACTGCTAAAATGGTACCTAGATCTTGCAAAGTCTGATTCATGGAGATGTATGTTTCACTGCCAAATCTCTACCACCTCTGGCAGAGGTATATTCATCTCGCTTACAGCTGAAGGTGGGCTCGTTTGTGGTTTTACAACTCTGCATAAGTCAATCACATTGATAAACTCAGCTTATTTTCATCTCCTACAAATCAAGCTCTGGCAAGTTTCTTTCATGAACTCAGCTTCTGTGAATTGCATTGTATCCATAGTTTTCTGCCTTACTTTCATTTTGGCACAGTAAGCTTGACCACCTAAATTCTAATGTTTTACTTTATGTAGTTTAACTTCATAATATTTCAGTATCCAGTGATAATAGCGGGGAGTTTTGTGTTTCATGTTGTATGGGAAAATCTCACAAACTACTCTCACTTCCATCTCCCTAAACTTATTCTTGGCTTCTTGAATTTCTTTTGTGATTTTAGGGACCATGCCCTGTGCAGTTCTCAATGAGCTATACTTGTTATGTGTAATTTGTTGATACTTTAAGTATCTAGTAATTTCACGTGGATTTATTTCTTTGAAAAAGGTCTGAAACTTTGTCGGTTCCCAAGCTACATAGAACTTTTATTGAGCTGCTACCAAAAAAGAAAATCAAAGCCTTGAAAACTCATTTGGAGGGGGGGATACTTTGTCCTAACACTTGCCATCAAAATGGTGTAGAAGAACACAGTAAAAAACATAGACAGATTGTCAAAATGGTGTAGAAGAACACAGTAAAAAACATAGACAGATTGTCAAAATGGGGTTATCCTTACTGTCTCAAGCTTCTTTACCTATGTCATATTGAAACCATGCCTTTCACACTGCCATTTACCTCAATAATAAACTACCTTTTTATCCCCTGAAGACCACAAATTCCCTCACAAACACTGCTCTGCAAAACTCCAGATTGTACATTTCTTAAGGTCTTTTGCTAGGCTTGTTTCCCTTTGTTAAGAGTTAAGACATTGTAAGTTATAACTCTAATAAACTGCAATATTGGTCCATTGTATGCTTTCCTGGGCCAAGCCAACATTTGTTTCCTCAAAAAAAGTCTCCATCAAGTCAGCTCTCCCTGCCCAAATCAATTCCTATGGGTGTCATTCCCACATCCCGTACTTCTGTGTTTGATGTGCAGTCCTTCTCACGTTCCTCTCGAACCTTGGTTTCCTTGCAGCATTCATCAAAACCTCTACTTCCTCTTCTTCTCAATCTGTCTCTGCACCTACTCTACAGCCCTCACATTCTGTTCTTTACCTTCTACTGCCTTGAGTACCACTGATCCCAACTACCCCATTTCTTGTCCTACTTACTTTTTCTTCCCCCCTTCCTACTCATCAGTCATCGTGCAAGCAGTAAGCACAGTCCAAGTTTGGCATTGTAAAACCTGAACTCCCCCCTGCTTATTGCTTACTACCGCTGAACCTACCTTTGTTGAGCTGACCATGTCCTCTTCCAACTTGGGAGTTGCGTATTGCTTTGCTTGCATGTTCACATGTTTTTGTTATGCTTTTGTTTCCCAAAATGCATGTTCGTCAAAAGCTAGATAGGCAAGATGGGGACTCTCATTATGAACAACATAGATGTTTCAGTTAGTTGCGAGCTTGATAATTGATAGCAATATTATCAGATTTTTGTTTGCATATGTGAAAATAATTTGGACTATCGTTTTCTTATCTATCTTATGATAATGTAATGACTAACAAATAATTTAACATTATAATGCATGTTTTTGTTATGCTTTTGTTTCCCAAAATGCATGTTCGTCAAAAGCTAGATAGGCAAGATGGGGACTCTCATTATGAACAACATAGATGTTTCAGTTAGTTGCGAGCTTGATAATTGATAGCAATGTTATCAGATTTTTGTTTGCATATGTGAAAATAATTTGGACTATCGTTTTCTTATCTATCTTATGATAATGTAATGACTAACAAATAATTTAACATTATAAACTAAAGCTTTTCCACCACCACCATCATCATTGCACGACATCCTCCAGCAGTTCAAGAAAATATGGTGTAATTGAAGGAGTGAAGTTGATAGCTTGTATCTATTACTACTTCCGTTCCTTTTAAGTGTCGTTTTTGTGTAAAAAATTTGTTTTTCTTTAAGTGTCGTTTCCAAAATTCAAGGTAGCATTATCTATTATTTTGTCAAAATTACCCTTAGTTATTAATTAAAGAAAGAGAAAAAGTCAAATAAGTTAATAAAAAGTTAAGGGTATTATAAGTAAAAAGACAATTGTTACATGAAAAGAAGTAAACTTTATTAACTTTATTGGTATGCGCAAAAAGTCAAAAAGAGACAATTAAAAAGGAACGGAGTAATTTTGTTTAGGGGATGAGGTTTGGGAATCTAGGTATTGGAACACAAAATGCAATTATATATTAAGGCTAGTTTGATTGGTAGGTTTTGAGTTTCTACTGTTTTGACTATTCTGGTGCAAATTATCACGATCATGATATTTTCACACTTACCTTTTTTTTAAACATTTAGTCAGAACCTTAGGCAGGATATTATTATACACTTTCTTTTAGTTGCAAAATAATGAAGTTGAGTTATGTGAAGTTGTGGATGTTACTTTCTGAACAATCTTTTCATATTCTAGGGAGTTTTTCAAGTTTTGTAATGTTAGGAGACCCACATTGGATGATATATGGCCTAAACATGTGTGTATAAGTAGAGACAATTCTCACCTTACATGTCAGTTTTGTAAGGTTAATCTATGCCCAACCACAATTTTTAGATGATAACAAAGTCTGGTTCAAGATTCATTGGGCCACATGTTATCAGTTTTTGCTATCAGACTATCCACCAATCCATGCACTAAGTCTAATAATGTTGGGTGTTTGAGGGTGTGTTAAGAGTTCCACATCTGATGATATAAAGGTTGAACATGTGTTTATAAGTGGAGGTAACCCTCACCTTACAAATTGGTTTTGTAATGTTGAGTTAAGCCCAATTCTAATTTTATGAGGTAATGTAATGGATAGATGTCAACTGCAATACTTCATACTAACTATGAATTTGTATTTATGTTGTGTGTATCTAGGTTTGGCAACTAACTAGGAATTTGTATTTATGTTGTGTGTATCTAGGTTTGGCAACTAACTAGGAATTTGTATTTATGTTGTGTGTATCTAGGTTTGGCAGCTCCATCGACCATCTACCTCCATTTCCAGTGTCTTCCATTTTTCCTCAATTCCTTCAGCCCTCTTCCCGCGAGGTATACTCTTTGCTTAAATTCTAATTAATGTATAGTTGATATTACTGTTGTTAATATATTTTTGGTTGTGATGAATGCTCCATAGAATACATGTTCAAATCTGTATTGGGTATGATTGTACGCTTTATTATTATTATTATTATAGGTTTTATGCATATTCCAGATAATTGAACAAAAAAATGTTGCATATTCCAGTCTGTTGTGGATGACCTGCGGCAGCGGATACAACAGTTAGAGCAAGCAGTATTGCAAGTGCAGCTGTATATTCAACTAGCCCACGAGGAGATATCTCGGGAGAGGGACGAAATGTCTGCCATCCAAGGGCATATGACAATGCTGTCAAAGACCCTTGCTGCCCTGAAGCGGCAGATGCAGACTATGGGACTGTGGCAATAATATCAGGAACACCAGAAATGAGTTTCTCTACTAGGTTCTTTGATACTAAAAAAATATATAAAAAAAATTATGACTTATCAAGTTAGTCTTTACATAAATTTTATTAAAAATTATGACTATTCTGTTATTTATTAAAAATGAGACTAAATTCTCTAGATGCTCTGAAGTATATTTTAAGATTTCAAATTTTAAAAATAGGTTACTTAATTGAACCGAATTCATTATTCAACGGATTGGTTAGACCCGGGAATTGTAAGAAGAATTGCAAAAAGAAACTAATCAAATTAAACTAAACCTACCATTTTAACTATTCTTTTCCACTCGGTCAAGATCTTATTCATTTAGGAATGGGGGCAATAGGTCTGAGATCTTATTCTTTCCCTTACGGATATCTCCATATCCCTATATTTTTATCAAATATTTTAACTGTCTTTGTTTGATTTTAACTTTTTTTTATTTTTTTACTATTTACCGAAGTTTTACGAGTTTGTATCCCACAAGTGTGTCTACCGGATAACTATAGAAATTAGTTATTTCATCTTTATCTTTGTTTCGGTACGTTTTTTGTTTACCGAAGAATTTGGAGTAAGCTTATCTGGTTTGTATTTAGTTTTTTCCGGAGAAATTATTTAAAGTTATCTAGTTTGTAATATGTGTATCGGATATTTTTTACAATGTTTTCCAAAAAAGAATATAATATATACTGGAAAATTTGAGGTTAAGTTATCCGCTATGCTATTTTTTTTGTTTATCGAAAAAATTTCATGATAAAATTTTTGAAAGTCATTTTTAAATTTTTTTGAACTTTTATTTTATGTTGCAACTAAGTATGTGATAAAAATTAAATATATGTAGGTATCTCATATATTTTCAACTATATAAAGATTTGATATACATGAACATGTAATAAGTTGGATTAAAGAGATTTGGATTAGAAATAAAGTAATTGTTATCATCACTTGTTCATATACTAAAACAAGCATTAGAGGGAGAAGCAACAAAATAATATTTAGTTGTGATAAAAGTGAAAAATACAAGGATACAAATAGTGGAACATAGAGTGTCACTAAGGAATGTGGATGTTCATTCAAAATCAGGTTGACTCCGATGAAAGATGAGTTTGGATGGAAGATTGATGTAAAATGTGGACTTTCTAACCATGGTTTACCTGATAGACTATGAGGTCATTAATTTGTTGGTAGATTGAGTACAGATGAGAAGCAACATGTTGTTGATTTGACAAAGAGACACATTTCACCTGGACATATATTTCTTTCTTTGCAAAAGCGAGATCCAAAGAATGTCACTTGAATCACGCAAATATATAAGCATAAGTGTAACTTACAAAAATAAATAAGAGGTCCTAGAAGTGAGATACAACATCCATTGAAGCTCATAGAGGACTCAAGCTATGTTTACTGGAGTAGACAAAGAGACGACTCATAAATTGTGAGAGAAATTTTTGGGCCTATCCAGATTAGGTTAAATTGTTGAATATTTTTCCTATTGTGTTTGTTATGGACAACACTTGCAAGGTTATATGGAATATGAGCAGACATATAACTTTTGTTAGGTGTTGGATAAACTGAAACAATTGTTTAAGAAGAAACATTTGTGCCCACAAATGATTTTGACTGATAGAGTTCTTGCTTTGATGAAAGTAATTGAAGTTATGTTTTCAAGTACGATTAATTTGCTATGTCGATTTCACATCAACAAAAATGTTAGTTCAAAATGCAAGCAATATGTGGTGAATGACATGTAAAAGTCGATAGGCACATTATGAATATAAGTTGTATGGGCTAGTGACAAGGTTGGGTATGATCAACGATCGTAACAACTTGAGCAAACATGTGTGAATTGTAATGAATTTATTGATCATGTGAAATACACATGGTTGACTACTCATAAACATATGCCATATATCAAAGAAGCAACCAACTTCAAAGAATCAGTCCACTCTTCAATTTTCTAATTATATTAGGTCATATATTGAAGACGTAGTTAATGTTGCATCAGATGGTAATTGTGAATTTAGAGTCATTGCATCATTGCATGGATATAATGAAGATGGTTAGCCAATGGTTTGTCGAGACTTGGATAACGAAATAAGCAACGAAGAAATATCAAATTTACATGATAAGTTATTTAAAAATCAGTTATCAAAAGTGATACAATCTTTGATGATATCATTTTTAAGTCCTCATCCACCAAAGAAATGGACGACTCTACCAGATATGGATTGTTTGATAGTGAGTCGCTATAATGTCACTCTTGTTTGTTTAGGCAATATCTTCATGACTTTCTTTCCTATGGAAATTTCACATTCACCAAATTCTCCATTTATGACATTGATTTTGCAAACCAAAATCATTGGGTTCAGGTATTTACTTTTATTATTAAATATATGACTTACCTTATTCATGTTTATTAATGTTTGAATTATTTTTCCAATCAGATAAACATGAAAGAAAGATTTCTGTTGCCAACAATCACATTTGATTAGAAGAAGTTTCGTTCCCCAACAGCAACATCACATATCTTAGGATTTGCAGGACGTCTACAACATTGACAACTACTTACACATGTAGTACCATATTGTGTTAGCTTAGCATAATTATATGTACTCAAAACATGAAACAAATACTAAATTATGTCATTGGGTTTTAATGCATACATCTAAAGTTAACACAAGTTATGAAAAATAAAAACATAAGTCTAAAGTTAATACATATGAAAAGTAGATACATAAATCAACTACTATGAAAAATGTGCAATACTTCAAATAATTCAGTAAACTGTGGGTCATCCTCTTCAGCACCAACCCACTGGAGATAATAAAGAAGCAAGATAGAAACATGAACCCAACTAGAATAAGATGATTCTGCTTCATAAACACGAATTGAAACCTCTCTTGGCGCATCCTGACGGGGCGGTACTAACCGAGGATGTGAAACATGATTATACCACTTAAAGTATCCAACATCTGTATCATATGGAGTGATAACCACCACAACCAGACATGTCATATCAAGGACGCTGTTATGGTAACCAATTCACTCAACATCAATATCATCATCTGTCATATAATTAGGAGTTGGGTGGAATATACTGCTTGTATCCAAACTGCCGTATACAACTGTCAGGCAAGTATGAAACAACCGTGTCACCCAACTTTAGACACCATGTACATACATATATCATCAAATGAACGCCATATTTATGATCCTTGAATGGGCACCATATGACGTCAATATGTGCCAGCTCGTCCAAAACAAGTCTCAACTCATCTACCTTCATTATTCCTTACTTATACGACCATCTCATAGTACAAGGATATCCACAATTATGATCTTATTTCCAATTCTCTTCTCTTTTTTCAATAGTTGGAAAATACTCATGAATTCAGCACTTTTACAAAATTAATACTATTTATAAAAAATAATAATAAATAAACTAAATTAAAATAAATACATGTAGCAGAGTAGTACTCACCAAGCTGCTTGTAAGCGAACATGGAAGCATCTCCGAGATATCTATAGAGGGTGACCAACACAGCTGATCCCTAACTATATCTCCCACATCCATCTAAGTCCATAAAAAGTAACCGATATCGAGCCTCGACAAGCGTGAAAGTCTTGTCTATAAAAATCGTAGAACCTATCAGCATCATCTTATACACTCTGGTCGCATAGCCCCATATAGCAGCAAATCGGTGACATGCGAATAATTATTGCATCCACTCCATCTTATAATAAGCACCCCTACAAGAACATACATAAGGTGTTTCCTCGCTAAATGACACTCCAAAGTACTCAATAGCAAAAGCAACAAAAACTTCTCCAGTGACATCTCAATGGGTCATAAAAAGCCCCTAATGAGTAGATGAAGCAGACAAGAAATGGTATCTAGTGTAATGCCCATCTTACCAAATGACATCTAAAATGAATATGTCTCTGGATGTCATCTCTCTAGAAATGCTAATGTCAAGTTTGTGTCTATCCTCGTCAAACTGGTTCTCTGGAGTGAAGATAGACCATACTGATTCATCCACCGCTCCATCTCTGGTAGGAGACAATGAGGAACCCTTTTTGTAAGCTTGCTCCCATGTCCTTCAGTTCTTTCTTCGGACATCTCTCTTGAAAACAATAAAAAGTGTGTGTGTGTGTGTGTGTGTGTGTGTGTGTGTATATATATATATATATATATATATATATATATATATATATATATATATATATATATATATATATATATATATATATATATATATATATATATAAAATAAAAATTAATCCCAATTGGAAAACGTTCAAAAGAGTTCTGGTGTAGTTTTCCACTAAACTGGAATACTTTATAATAGAGTTCTGATATGTTTCATGAATCAAAAATCTTTTCCTAAGAGATCCGGTGAATTTAAAAAATCGAATAACTTACTAGTTGAGTTCTGGTTTGGTGACCGTGTACTAGATAACTTATCAAATGAGTTCCGATATACAATTGTTTTCCTATATCGAAACACTTAAAACACAAATGAAAGAAAAAGAGGAAAAAATAAGACAAATGAACTATTTATATGAAGGCATTTTGGTAAAAAAAAAGGTATAATGTAGGAGTAGGGAAATAAATAATTGGGCATGGGGTAAAATTTTCAAAGAATAGGCACACCCCAGAGATCTAGGGGATCATTAATAGGTGATCGTCTACCGATTGTTGGATGTGAACAATTATAGAATCTTAGAACACACGTACTACTAGGCCCTTTACTAGTTGTTGGGTGGGAATAATTATAAAATCCTATGACACATGTACTACAAAAAAACTACTACCACAAAGAAGATTTTAGAACCTATAGAATAAAAGACCTTAACTATAAATTCTATTGTATTAGGAGAACTTAGGTAGATACTATTATATATCCTTAATCTTACACTTACGATCGTCACTAATTTTATTATCATAGTGTTTGAAGACATTCCTCACATCGTCGCATACAACAT